TAGCTGGGATTATAGGCATGCACCAATATGCCTGGCTAATTTGTGTATTTTTAGTAAAGACAGCGTTTTGCCATTTTGGCCAGGCTGCTCTTGAACTCCTGACCTCAAGTGATCTGCCCATGGCTCCCCAGAGTGCCGGGATTATAGACATGAGCCACTGCTCTCAGCCGAATCACATTTCTTAATTGGTAACTGAATGCAGGAACACCATTTGAATTTGTATTAAGCAATGTTTGGTTTTTAAAAAAATCTCCATGATATGTTTAGTTAAAACAAAATATCAGAATGCATCCTACAAAATAAGCATATTGTTTGATGATACTCAAACAAGAGTTACAACGTAAAATGTAAAATTCATTAATTTGAATTTCAGGCATTTGAAGCCACGACTCTAAGTTTGAAACTGTTCCATTACTTTACATTCTTTTTATTAGTGGGAATATACAGATATACCATTACTGTCTTTAGATTTCTAAAACAATCATGATTTCCCTCCATCTTTAATAATTGAGTCAGTTATAGAATTACATATTACCATAGTAGTCTGAAGATTTTACTTTGTGTGTGTGTGTGTTTGTTTTTTGAGATGGAGTTTCACTCATGTTACCCAGGCTGGAGTGCAATGGCATGATCTTGGCTCACCACAACCTCTGCCTCCTGGGTTCAGGCAATTCTCCTGCCTCAGCCTCCTGAGTAGCTGGGATTACAGGCACGCACCACCATGCCCAGTATTTTCAGTAGAGACGGGGTTTCACCATGTTGACCAGGATGGTCTCGATCTCTTGACCTCGTGATCCACCCGCCTCGGCCTCCCAAAGTGCTGGGATTACAGGCTTGAGCCACCGCGCCCGGCCTAGAAGATTTTACTCTTGTTGCTGATGAGAAGTTTGATTAGATACCATTGACGTCCCTCTGTAGATACTGTCTATTACTTCAGGGAGCATCCTAAAGTTTTCCCTTTTTCATGATGCTCTGCAGTTTTACTTTGGTAGCTGACTTAATTTTATTATCATCAACACTTACAGCTCATTTCCCATCTAGAGACATTTCTTTCTTCATTTCTAGTAAGCTCTGTGTTATTATCACTTTGAGTGTTATTTTCTATGGCCTTTCTCTTCTTGGCCATTTGTCAACATTTATTAGCTAAAATCCTGTAAGTCTATTCATTTATCCTCCAAGTTTCACAAGTGTTTTCATGTTTTTTATATGTCTCTTATTTCTTATTAATGAATTAGCATCATATTTATGCATTCTCTCATTAGTTTAATGATTTCTTTGTCATTTTAATTATATTGACCATATTTGTCATTTGTTTCAATTTTAATATTTTTTTCTCTAACGTATGTAATTTTGGCCCCTTGGATGTGCCTATTTCTTGTTCTTTTCAATTTTTTTCCCCTTTGGCTCTTTGATAAACCCCAAGTAAATATCGTTCAGATTCTTCTGTCATTTTCATTCACCTTCTGCTTGGTGGGGATTTTTAAGTTGACTTTTTTAAGAATCAATGTGTTGCAGAAATTGAATTTTCACATTTTAAGGAGTTATTTTTTAACCTCTTTTTTGGTATTCACTTCTCTCTGCTGGATAAGAGTGTCTCATTAAATTATCTTAGCACCCTTCTTTAACAAATCTTTTTAAACAAGTTGTGGTACGAAAACTGGATATCTATCTTTAAAAGTTAATGTGGACCCCTACTCTATACTATATACAAAAATTAACTCCAAACGGATCAAAGACCTAAACACAAGAGATAAAACTATAAAACTCCTAGAAGAAAACACAGGCATAAATCTTAATAATCTTTCTTGACACTTGCTAAGAGAGCAGATTGTAAGTGCTCTTACCACAAAAAATGGTAATTGTGTGAGGACAGGAATACATTAAGTAGCTTCCCTGTAGTATTCGATTTACTGTGTATATGTATATCAAAACATCACATCACACACCTTAAATACATGCAATTTTAATAAAAAACAAATTTTAAAGAAAAATACAAAATGAAGAGTTCTGATGGTAAATCTAGTGCCTGCTGTCTATAAAAATAGACATTTTTCCAGAGAAGACATACAAACAGCCAATGGGTATATGAGAGGGTGCTCAATGTCACTAATCATCAGGAAAATGCAGATCAAAATCACAATGAGATATCACTTGTTAAGAAGGTTATTATCAAGAAAAAAGCCAAATGGTAACAAGTTGTATTAGTCCATTTTCACGCTGGTGATAAAGACATACCTGAGACTCGGCAATTTACAAAAGAAAGAGATTTAATGGACTCACACTTTTCATTGCTGGGGAGGCCTCACAATCATGGCAGAAGGTGAAAGACACATCTCACATGGCAGCAGACAAAAGAAGAGAGAGCTTGCGCAGGGAAACTCGCTTTTTTTTTTTCTGAGACGGAGTTTCGCTCGTTACCCAGGCTGGAGTGCAATGGCGCGATCTCGGCTCACCGTAACCTCCGCCTCCTGGGTTCAGGCAATTCTCCTGCCTCAGCCTCCTGAGTAGCTGGGATTACAGGCACGTGCCACCATGCCCAGCTAATGTTTTGTATTTTTAGTAGAGACAGGGTTTCACCATGTTGACCAGGATGGTCTCGATCTCTCGACCTCGTGATCCACCCGCTTCGGCCTCTCAAAGTGCTGGGATTACAGGCTTGAGCCACCGCGCCCAGCCCGAAAACTCGCTTTTTAAAAACCATCAGATTTCATGACACTTATTCACTGTCATGAGAACAGTGTGGGAAAAACCCACCCCCATGATTCAATTATCTCCCACTGGGTCCCTCCCACCATACATGGAAATTATGGGAAGTACAAGATAAGATTTGGATAAGGACACAGAGCCAAACCATATCACGGGTGTTGGTGAGAACATTGAGCAATTGAAACCATTTTTACTGTGTTGTGGGAATGTAGAGAATGATGCAGCCACGATGGAAAACAGTATAGAGGCTCCTCCAAAAATTCAAAATAGAACTACCTTGTGATCTAGCAATCCTACTTCTGGGTGTATACATCCAAGAGAATTGAAATCAGGATCCTGAAGCACTGTGTGCATTCCCATGTTCACCGTAGCATTATTCACAATAGCCAAGATAAGGAAAGAAACTAAACGTCTGTCAACAGATGAACGAATAAAGAAAGTAGGGGGATATACACCCATGGAATATTATTCCACACTAAAAAAAAAGAAGGAAATCCTTCCATTTGTAGTAACATGAATCAATGCAGAGGGCATTAAGCTAAGTGAAATAAGACAGTCACAGAAGGACAAACACTACGTGATTCCACTTATATGAGACATTTAAAATAGTCAAACACCCAGAAGAGGAAAATAGAATTGTGATTACCAGGGGCTTGAATGGGTTGAAAATGGGCAATAATTGGTCAATGGGTATAAAGCTTCAGTCATGGAAGATGAAAAAGTTCTAGAGATCTGCCATACAACATAGTACTTACAGTTAAAATATGGCATTGTGTACTTAAAAACATGTTAGGAAGATAGTTCTCATGTTGTGTGCTTACCATACACAAAAATAATAAAGACCACACACATAAAAAAAAAAACAACAAGAAAAGTTTTGAAAGTTATGAATATGTTTATTGCCTTGATTGTACTAAATGGTATCACAAATGTAAGCATGTTCAAACTCAACAAAATACATATTGAATACAGATTGAAGACCAAAGAAAGCAATTCTAATTCCAGGCACAAGGTAATTAAGATAATAATTATCATTTCCAAGTATTAAAGTCCACCTTCTACTTATGTGCAGAAACACAGAAACCCAGGGCAATATTTAAAATGAAGAAATGAAAAAACGTATCTATAAAACTGACTGCATCTACAACTTAATTTTCTAAGAATAAATGCTGCTTTTTTCCAGTAACTTAAACAAAAAGGTGGTAATTTAGGCAAATAAAAAGGAAGAAGCAAACTGAATAGAGTTGATGACTGACTGGAAATACCAAGCTTCTTAACTTAAACACCTTATTTCTTTTTCTAAGTTAGAACATGACTTAGAAAATGGCAAGCAGAGTCTTAAAAAATTATGAGCAAAACCCCTCTAAACTCAAAACGTTCCTCTCTCTTTCTTACTCAGAGCAGGCACACCCACCAGCACATTCTACTTACAGTGAGAATATGCTATCCAGATATACGAAACTTCAATATTTTATAATATTTGCTCCATGATTTAAAGGAACTGTAAGAGTTGACTTTGCTACAGGGTCGGGGATCCCCCTTGGGAGAGGCACACTTGGTGGCGCAGGAGGGTCCCCTTTAGGAGGTGGCGTTGGCACCGAGGCCTGAAGGCCAAGGAGCGGGATGTGGAGAGCTGAGCCCCCGCCGTCGTGGCGGAGGAGACAGGCCTGCACAGTGTTCCTCGGGCCGGAAGGAAGGACCCGGCAATGGGGTTGGAGCCCAGCGCAGGAGGGAAGAGCTGGGAGGGGACAGGCTGGAACCCCAGGGCTCCGTG